ATTTTTCGAAAGTAGTTGTTATGATGACGAGAATTATAATACTTCATACAACATAAAATAATGATTACATAGTGAAGAATGTGCAATGTAGAGTACAGAATCGTTGTTGAATACAATGACCGAGGATAATACTTTATTCATACTGTTTGGTGGGTTAGTACTGAGAAGGCACTTTATAAGAAGCAGTTATTCCATGTAGGTTTGACAGGTATGATAATTAGGAACAAATGCTGAAACCATGTTAGAATAGTTATGCTTATAGCGGTTGGTCTTGTCGATCTCTATTATGTTCAACAAATGAGTAATGCCATGTTGAATACCGTGACCGAGTATAATTCTTTATGCATACAGTTTGGTGGGTTATTACTGAGAAGGTGCTTTACATGAAACAGTAAAAATACATTTAGTTTTGACACGGAGCAAATGTTAAATCTGTAATGAGACTAATTGTGGATACTGGATCGTTTCATCAATTACAACAATTAAAATTGAAAATACATCTGGATCTATAGTTAGACATGCTCCATAATAGAGTAATGCCACGAATGATCACCACTTTCTGCAGCTTTCTGATGTAATCTCATCTCCTCCTCCTGTAGGGCCGTGAAAAACTGAACAAAATCTGGTCCCATGGTGTAAAGTATGACGTCATTAGCTCGAAAGGCATCCAAGCATTCCTGCATGGTCCTCGGAAGGTTCTGGTTGGTGTCATGGGGGCATGGTGCCGTGGTGGAAGCAATGCCTTGGACTGAGGCTGGGGGAGGGATTTGGAAGGTTCTGGTTGGTGTCATGGGGGCATGGTGCCGTGGTGGAAGCAATGCCTTGGACTGAGGCTGGGGGAGGGATTTGGAAGGTTCTGGTTGGTGTCACGGGGGCATGGTGCCGTGGTGGAAGCAATGCCTTGGACTGGGGCTGGGAGAGGGATTTGGAAGGTTCTGGTTGGTGTCACGGGGGCATGGTGCCGTGGTGGAAGCCATGCCTTGGACTGGGGGTGGGAGGGATTTGGAAGGTTCTGGTTGGTGTCACGGGGGCATGGTGCCGTGGTGGAAGCCATGCCTTGGACTGGGGCTGGGAGAGGGATTTGGGAGGTTCTGGTTGGTGTCATGGTGGCGTGGTGGAAGCCATGCCTTGGACTGGGGGTGGGAAGAGGGATTCGGAAGGTTCTGGTTGGTGTCATGGGGTCATGGTGCCGTGGTGGAAGTCATGCCTTGGACTGGGGCTGGGAGAGGGATTTGGAAGGTTCTGGTTGGTGTCATGGGGGCATGGTGCCGTGGTGGAAGCCATGTTTTGGACTGGGGCTGGGAGAGGGATTCTGAAGGTTCTGTTTGGTGTCATGGGGGCATGGTGCCGTGGAGGAATCCATGCCTTGGACTGGGGCTGGGAGAGGGATTTGGAAGGTTCTGGTTGGTGTCTTGGAAGCGGGGTGTCATGGGGAGCCATATACTGTGCTTACCCTCGCTTTTCCTTTCAAAAGGAGGACAATCCTACTCATATTGTATTACTCAATCTCTTTTTTTCCCTCTCCGTCTCTCTCCGTCATTGTTATTACAAACTCTTCAATATGCCTTATAATTTGCTCACAAATCATTGTTTTTTTTTACTTGAGGCACAATTAAATTGCCTACGTCATGGTCAAGACCAGAACCACATAGATTGTGTTGGATTTGTAGACTAAAATGTATGATTATAGTTTACGGACGGTCTAGGAAAAAGAAAGAGATAGCGACCATTTCAGAGAATGAACAAATAGAAGCATTAAAGGGATAATCAAAGTAATTAATGGAGAGAAAAAGCGAAGTGGCAAAGAGATGGAATAAAGGACGGAGCAGAGAAAGAAAAGCGGCGAAGAGAGAGATACAGAGAGAGAGAGAAGAAAAGACAGAGAACCCATAGCGGAATGGAGGGGGGGGGGCGTGTTCCATCCATTCTTTCTGGCGGCAAATCTGTATTTTGTCGACATATTTCACTTTTTGTGCTGTCGCAAAAATCTATCTGGGGGAACCCTTGGGCTTGTTCGAAAACTAAACCTTTGGACTCCTTGTCAAATTCGCCCTGCGACACCCCCACTCCAAATGATCTAGTGACGCTTCCGAGAGAGATAGAGGGGGAGAGGATAAAGAGGGAGATAAGGGGAAGGAGAGAGAGGGGGTGGGGGAGGAGATGTTGCTAGTCACATAGTGTATTAAGTGTAAGTAAAACGACTCACCACCACCTCTAATGGGGAACAAAAATCCCTCCCTGGTTCCAATATGTGGTAAGGTAGACTCGATGGCTAGGTGGGGGAAGAGGGTGGGGGGGGGCAGATTGGAAAGCCCAGATGGCTGCATGACTAGAGGTGTAACGGTATGCATAACTGTATTTCATTCAGCTATCATACCAATGCCTGGGATTGGTATGTATTCATTGATATCTTCTAGATCATCTAGATAGACACTCGATTGTTTATATAGTACATATCCATTACATTTTCAATTCAATCATTATCTCATAGATACCATCTAACTTTCTGGTGGGAAGTTGGGGAGGGAGGGGATTGTTACTATTCAATGCATGTGCAATTAACCATGCGCTTAAATGCCAAATTATGTAAAACTGATCGTTCGGTTACGATTTTCAAGTTTTTCATCTTGATACAAATGTCTTGTGCCGATGGAAATCAATTAATTTCAATTCAAATGTCATCACTAAACATGATCCACTTCATCAGATGAGAGCTAGCGACATTTGCGACGGAGCGAAATCAAAAGAGGTTACTACGGAAATGAGAAAGAAAAAAATGTGTTATTTCAGATCATGGTGATGCAGGACGAGAAAAAAAACTGAGACAAATATAGCCTAAGATGAAAGTTATGTCCCTTAAAGCCCCTCTAAAGTATTGAGAGCCCCACAAATGTGATGGCAAAATGTCAATTAAATTGTATCATTATTTGAAAGAGGACGTCATTTAAGACACATCTGTGCAAGTATTTTCAAAACAAACGTGTTTGAAGTCGGATATTGATGAAAGAATACAAAGTTTAGGTTTTGCGTACAACAGAAATCCCAAACTATGTATTCCTTTATCAATATTTTTCTTCAAACTCATTTGTTTGTGGAAATCTTTGCAGAATTGTATTTTAAATGACATCCTCTTTCACATTATAATACAATTTAAGTGAAATTTTGCCATCAAATTGTGGGTTTCCCAACGCTTCAGAGGGGCTTCAATGTTTTGCAAAAACCATCAAAAGGCAGTAACATTCCTGATCGGGTGTAAATCAAGAGACTTTACTGAAAAAAATGTGAATCAGTATTTCTATATATTTATTTAGATTATGGTCATGAATAAAGACGAACAACAATAAATAATCATAAATAAATGGAGGCAAACATCATCATCGTACCCATTTTCAAGGCTGGTTATAGAATTGTATGGGTATCATCTCAGAGACAAATTAAGTATAAATAAAGCAACAGAAACATAGCTAGCAATATGTTTACATCTTCATAAGATCCCGTAATGATAATCATCGAAGGAGAGAATGAAAACCAAACAAAGTTAGAGGCAATAATATATATCTAGACAATAAACTCAAAGGTGATTGAGTGTTACAACAAGAACACACCAGAACCGACAACGGACAAACAAACACATTTAAGCGAAACAAAAACAAAGGTGATTGAGTGTTACAACAAGAACACACCAGCACCAACAACGGACAAACAAACACATTTAAGCGAAACAAAAACAAAGGTGATTGAGTGTTCCAACAAGAACACACCAGCACCAACAACGGACAAACAAACACATTTAAGCGAAACAAAACAAGACAAGTTAAACGAGTGAGGGGATAAGGGGCGGGTGAGATGGGGCGGGGAGGACCCTGGAAGGGCGGATGATAAGCTTAGAGAGTGATATGACAGAGCTCAGGCGGAGAGGGGGAGGGGGTATAGACGTGGGGGGGGGGGGTGGACAGCCAATACTGATGATTTTTTTAATTAGCCTTGATCAACGTAGTACATAAATCAGGGTCACACATATTATCAATAAAAATAAATAATAATCAGAGACATCCCATCACCACGATGACACGATCGCAAAAGCTTTCGAGAAATGAACTTCACGGTAAATTCAATAGAAAATTGACCAGATAAAATCATGTTAGGATATTACGTAATACTTCATTGGACATTTCAGCAGGTGATGAGCATGGCCATTCCTCTAGGTTGATTTTTCGAAAGCCTTTACGATCATGTACCTTACTGTTCAAGTACAACACGTTTTGATGTATCTATAATGTGCATTTATGCGATGTACTTGAAAACAAGAAATGGAAAAATTTTGTTGTTCAAGCGTTGGTGACAGAAGGTATAATGAAGTATATATTGGTGCAATGAAAAAAATAAAGATTTTTAGTTGTAGATCACACATAAATCAGGATTGGGAATGGATACGGGCAGAGTGTATTTGTTTTTATTTTTCACCACCACACGATGGTAATTGATTGACAGATCGGAGTAGTGTATCGGACTTTAAGTGACAGCTTACGGCTATTATCGCTCAAGAGAGAGGGCACCTTAAGGGATGTAGTCCAATGATTCAAACTTTTTAAAGTGATTTTTGATTGGTCGATGGTATGATTATGTATCTCTCTGACTTTGTCTGCTGTGTAGTTGCAGATGTGATGGTTCCCTATTTTATGCAATGACGAAAGAGCCCTTTTCACTTTTTAAACGTAGAATAACCCCTTTCTAGAGAATGGAAGATGAAAACGCATGATATAGAAGACTACACTTCAAGAGATGCATCTGTGTATAATGTTCACCCACTCTTGTGGGATGTCCATATAAGACCAGCGGAGTTTGCATACATTACCCTGCCTCGATCGCCCCGCCGAAGATGCCTTGCATAACTGCCTCCGATCGCGGGTCCTTTTCGCGAGCTCCCTTTCGCTTTGCACTTCTCGTTTGTGACGTCAGCTCATTAGGGGTGGTCTAGTTCGCTGCTCCCTACCACCAAACACTCCCATTCACATTCAATGCTATCTGGTTTGTGGATCTCACGGTTAGAATAAGCGAATCCGCCAGGTCTCCAGTCGTGTACAGGAAGTAGATATTGTCGATTTGTTGGCACCTTTACCCGTATGCGGGGGGACAACCTCACTTTTCACCGTCGTAGAGAATCCAGTCTTATTACCGGTAAGTACCAAATTCCAGAGCTTCAATCATTTCATAATTCTCATTGCATGAAGCCAAACACCGCCCAGACCCCGAAACAATGTTCGGAAAAAAGGAAATTGATAAATAATGATTGATTTAGTTGACATGATATGATGAATGGAAATTCCTGAACGCTGATTTCCAAAAGTTATAACTGTGCTATCTAAAGTGGATGTTGAAGTAGGGCGAAATTTTCCCGCGGTTTTCGAGGGGCCCTGCGAAGTTCTGTTTATGTTATTAACGAAGACTGGACGGTGTTGTGATAGATTTATCGCCATGGTGATTTGTGAAAATGCTGACTGACCTCCTCACTCATTAATCATTCATTGTGTCACTTATTTCTTAAATCATTCATTCATAGTCCGATCTATATGTCTAGACCAATAAATTGTCTGTTTTGGTTTCATATGATTTAATGGAAATTATTATGCGTCATATTTGTATCACGTCACTCTATTCTCGATTCTCTCAGTTGTTTTTAAAATTGATAAAAGTAAATTTTAGGTTTGTTTTGTTCTTGTAGAACAGCGAGTATCTGATTGCAAATGGAATTACGTTGATGGCGTGTTGGGATTAATGTTGTATTATTCAAGCGAATCGTGTTTTACATTCTCTGTCATGGCTTATCATTGGTTACGTAATACGAAATACCCGAGGTTGCTTTGAATGTCGTTTTGTATTTTTTTACAGAACGACAAAAACTGTTTTATTTATGGCACATTATGTTCATCAGCGGAACTTCAAAATAGATTGCTGGTTATAAATAACGTGATTAATTTTTCATTATTGTTATATTTCAAAATCTATTTGATACATTCCTAACAAATAATGTAATTAAACATATTTTACCGATTAACAATTTCCCCTTTCTTATGCTTAGTAGCAATTAAAACTCGAGAATGGATTCAAGTTGGACCATTGGCCTACTATTTTATAAGATTTGTTAGCCTAATTCATATCAATTTTTAAATTGTTTCTTTTTCACGTATTTTGTATACGTGATTATTTACTACCTCAGTACATTTGTTTATTATTCTTTTTATTATTTCACAAGTTGTTTATGACTTGTTGAGACTTGATTCTTCGTGTCAATATGAATTGATGCTCGTAGATCCCATGTAGGCAAATAGCATGCAGAGATGATCTATGTAACTGTATATAAGTATCATTCCTGACCTTTCATGTTCAACTGTTGTTGATGTACTGGATGCTTGCTTCACGCCCATGCTCTTACACTGCCATTTAAACATCGTATACCACGATGCTCTTTTGATATAACCTTGATACATCATTATTAATCACCGTTGTCATCACCAGTATCATTGCAACAATACCATGACTATCTTTAATCCTCCTCCTGTTTGTTAAAGAATTTTCAGAATTTTAGCCAGCATCGTCTGCATTAACGATGAAAACTATCTTAACCTTCATTTTTACTTCGGCCCATCGTCATCATCATCATCAACATCATCATCAACAACAACACCAGCAACACCATCTTACATCGATAATTACTACCATGACCACCACCACTACCATCAACCATCACCACCACCATGGTCATTATCATCACCACCACTGTTACAACCACCGTCATTACTATATTGCACCATTGCTTGATTAGAGGACGTCTTTTGAGGATGATGCCCCCAAATATGTTTATAATTATGCGGCCTATGCTTGCAGAATTTTGCCACCATCTTCCCCAATCAAGACTGCTGTCATCATAATCATCACCTTAATCTTTCACGACCACCAAACCACAGGAAGGTTCGCTACGATAATATTACCAACACCACAATGATCACAATTGTCATCACCCAATATACCCTGGAATCAATCGAACTACCATTACTAAAATACCCTCATGCTACCCCTTCAAAGGGTGTGAAAGTTTTGTTTTAATACCTGATTGTTATTATGGCATTGCAGACAATATAACTAAGAGAAGACAGACCCGAACTGGAAGTTGAACGTTGAAACATCCATAATTAAGGGTTTAAAGCTTGCAAAGTAACACAATTCATTTAAAAAAAAAAAATTAAATAAATATTTTTTCTTCTCCATAATTGGATTTTAGGGTTCTCTGTTTATTTAAATGTAGCTATCAAATTCTAAACCCCTTAATATGGCATGTTCTATATTTAATAGTGTTAAGGTCATTACAGTAAAATATCCGGTTGCGAAAAGGGCACCACTTATGTATCTAATTATTTGTTCCATATCCTTTATTCTGCCTCATCATTTTATCATCATCAAACCAATCACCATCACCATCAACACCATCGTTATCATAAGATGCAGAAATCACCCATTCCAATGGCCAATGCATGTTATCAATTAACATTTGATATAATAAGTTAAAGAAAATCAAAATGAATGAAATTTCTCTTTCCTGTAGATCAATAAGTAGTACCATCATTTTGTCTTTGAAGCTCAATTCGAAAGTCTCTCAATATGCACTCCACCCCATCAAAAACAGCCCCTCCCCTTCCCCTCTCTCACCCCTACCCCTCCCCTATCCAGTCCGTCATTGAGATGTCATTTCAGATCGCGGCCTTACCCATCTTTAACGTATGACCTTTGATAACAATATCGCTATAAGCTCGGAGAGCGACGTGTAAAATGGTATATATACGACAGGGGAATAGTCTGTGTGAAACGTGATACTATTATACGACACGAGGGGATTTGTTATATGATGTGCTTCTAGGATGACGTTTAGGAATGGTCGTATCCATTTGATATGCTCCTGCTCTAGTTGCTTGCCCTCATCTTATCTCGGAAGAAAAAACATTTCTTATCTATAATCGTTGATGTGATGACGCCTGTATTGCATGGGATGGCAAGATATCATGAGCTTGTACAAAACCAGGCAGAACAAACTATAGGCAATTTGGATAGTCTTGACTGTCACCTATTGCACTATGCGGATATTACAATGATTTATTATATAGTCCAATAATGATTTCTATGGGATATGTAATAAGCTATTGACATTGCTCTTGATTTGATTCCTCCAAAGTTTTTACGACCGTATTGCAGGGGTATATATCTTTGAGTCCTATCCGGGGGACAAGGGAATCAATGAGTGAAATCTTACCTGGTATACCTTTATTTTTAAAACATTTTCTTTTAGGCCGATGACGTCAAAATTATCTTACTTATTGTGAAGCTACTGGGATATTAATACTGCTGCCTGTACAACTTTGAAATAAAAACCAATTATGGACTGCATTAAGAAAAATTGGTCCATAAAAATATGACGCGGGAGGTACTATAAATTGGGGCGAGGAAATTGTTGGCCTAGTAAAAGAATTTCCATACTATTTACTTGGGGCCTATAGTTATCTCAATTGTAACCGATTTTCCAAAAACCATTCATGAAGAAAAGATTTACGTGGAGTGTTGAATTTGTGAAACACAATTAAATTTTGAAACTTTTTGTGTTCATTAAACCCCCCCCCCCCCCCTCCCACTAAAAAGGGACACACGTTTACATAAAGTGATGTGTATCAAATTCCTTTTTATAATATATCCCATGAACACGACTTACATCAATTATGTAAACGGGTCATCCTTAATTTTGGTAAATATTTTACCAAGCATGTCTACATCCTTAGTTGGTGTTGTTCATGGGCCAACAGATCCTGCCGTAGATACATTTTTTAAAATCTATCCATTTGTCTATTTATTTGTATTTCAGTTATTAATCACGGTTAAGGAGCTTGCTATTAGCTAGAAGCTGCTTTTCAGCAAGGCCGTTAACAATAATAAAACTCAACAAGTAAACGAAAACAAAATTTATATACAAAAGAAATCACAAAAATCCATAGTATATTTTTGATGCAATGTATAGTGAAAGAAATGAATGTAAATGTAATAGATGATTTCAATATCAATCTTAGACTACCATGAAAAGGTAAATGTTTTAGTTTATGCCAAATGCGATTGTTTTAAATACTTATATTTAATTAATATTTAAACAAAAGTTTGGACGTCTGTCATCACTCTAGTTGTGTCTTTGTCTTTTTAAGATTTGACAGATATACCTTGTCTAAAATCAATCATACACTAATTGCAAATTAATGGCACTATATCTTCAGGAATTTGTCTGAAATTGCATCAACTGAGTAAATCACAACAATTCTAAAGAAAAGCAGGCTAAACTTGCATCGTTTTGTGATTCCATGAGCTAATAGTAGATATTGAAATGACTACTCAGTAAAAGGCAGTTGTATGTAGTCTATATGATTACTGCGTATTGGATTCTCTTAAATCCTTAGCACACTATGTCGTTCATGTAAATATCATGTCGCGAACCATATGAAAGACCAAACAGTAGATTCCAAAGGCCATACCAATATCAATATAAACGGATGGGACTAACAGCCGTAGGAGACTGTACAACAACGGACAGGAATGCGAGGGATATGGGGGAGGGGACAGTGAGGTGAGGGGGGGGGGGGCACTGCATCATGCAGTCGTATCTACATTATGCTATGGGGGCATACTTTAATGATTGATGCATCGATATACGGTTGTATTTACATAGCGCTGGTGAGGTGATGGAAGGGGGAGGGGAGGGGTAACATGTCTCTTAGAAGCTAGCTTTCCATGTCAGTCTCTCTGAACATTCTTTTCTTTACCAATGGGTAGCAGCATGGGGTAGCTTCGGGGGTAGCTTTCGATGGGGATATACACCTGGGACACTTTAACTGTTATCAAAGCCAGATAGAAACTCTACATAACACTTTGATTCTTGTTGATTCTTATACCAGCGAAATGTATATGGTATACTTCTGTTGCCTACTCGTGTTAGTAATATATTCCATTTTGATGATAAACAATATTCTCAATGGCAGGAGAATTGTCTACAATATGTATATTTCAATGTAGTCAACGGAACCATATCTTGTTTATTTATTATCTGTCCATATTCATATTAGCTACGTATAATGTAAATTGTAAAAATCAAT